TCAACCAGCAGAAAAAATTATGCCCATAAGATACAAGTTGGCCCCCGACTGATATGAAGTCTAGAGACCCCGAGGAAGCAGAATCACCAAAGAAAAAAACTTTATGATGAAAAACAAGGTTCTAGTACTTTATATAGACCCGGCTCTCGGACTATTATGAATGTAAACCAAATCTATTGTCTTTCACACAGAGTACACTGACAAGAACACAATAATTCACCTTTCAAAAGAAACCAGGCTCTGATACATGTATAAAGAATTTATTACATAAGTTATGGTGGGAGACAATTATTTATCCTACGAGTGAAATTGCGAAATTATAATCAAGAGTCTCAGTGAGTGATTACACTTGGCAATTCCATAAGAAAATATATATCACTTATATCAGTTTTTGATATGATGTAGCCTACTGCACAGAGTTCAATTAAGGCCTCTGTAACGGGAATGTAAACCAGCCTTTACTAAAACACAGTATAAACATACACAGAGCTGCATATAATAATATATAAAAGAAAACAGCATTTTTTTCCGTCCGTCGGGCAATATTTAGCAATTTTTTAAAAGGCTCAACACCTTTTATGTCCATTTAACAACACAGCTCAGTGTGGATTTTACTGAAAAACGTTGACCAAAGGCACAGAAAATGTAAATTTGCAGTTTCCAAGGACTCTCAAGCTTTGGAAGTCACCAAACTTCGGCCCCCATTTTCTCGCTAATTTTACCCCAGCTACCATGCGACCCTCACCCCCTTCAATTGCACATTATTATTAGATCGACTTCTGTTTAAGATAGATGAGTATTTTTTTCATCACACGCACGGCAAAAGAACAGGCTTTCACCCTTTGAACCCTGACCTCCTAAGTCTACCATGCTCCTCTGCCTCAGCTCCTGGGTGATTCGCTCCTATATTACTCACATTCATATTATCATCAGAATCACGTTCCATATCCTATTCGGGGTAGTTTCAGTCATAACCAGCATCTAATTCAGAAAGGTCTTCAAAATATTGGCTTAATCAATAACATCCTGGGTAGTAAACACTATTTTTCGTGCATGTTTTGTCTCAGACGGGCCAGGTTGGGAATAGAGTCTTGATCACCAGTGTACTGGTGGCTAAACATACGGGCAATTTTACGCACTTATACATTTCTTTGATTTCACACAATTTTGCCATGCATTATTTTTTAAGGTTAACTTTGAGTGATTGTATCTCTGTCAACTCTTATCGTAGCTGAAAAATTGATGAGTCAGATGATGCAGCATTTATTTAGCTTTAGATTCACGCCTATATTACTCACATGCCTGCATGAGTGGGTAGTGTAAGGCTTTAACACGATGGTTGAGTGAATACATTTTTAAGTTTCTTTGAGGCCACTGTATATATATAGGCTACTCTTATTGGCCCACATGGGCCATTTAATGTGTTGCTTTTTCAATGTATTTCATACATGGTGTTGTCCGAACTTGTTCTCTTTTATTTTTTCTCACTTTATCCCTTCTTTTTAATGTTTTCCTGAGGCATTCCATCTCGCACACAGTTCTACAAATTTGATTGTTTGTCAGCGTGTTCCTGCAGTTCAGTGTTATTGTTATGCAGTAGGCTTTGATCGTCTGCAGACAGTGTTTCATTTAGAATTTAGGTTCTCCGAATGTGGGCTTGCTTCTTTCGTCGAACAATATATTACGCTATAATTGAGTTATTTATTTCTTTGTTTACTCTATGTATACTGTGTTGGATAACAAGATGAAGATGTGTAACTTCTTAGACTCTATTGTTCATCTTTTTATTTTTAGTATTAAATTGGAAAACTATACATTCTCAATTTAGAATATATGATTGACGGACTTT